TATCTATCTATCCATCTATCCATCTATCCATCTATCCATCTATCCGTCTATCTGTCTGTCTGTCTGTCTGCCATTCAGTCCATCCATCCATCTATCCATCTATCCATCTATACATGCATATGCGGTTCACTGATGACCCCTTTCCTGAGGTCACTATTGTTTTGTGAACATAATGGACACAAAAATAACTTTAAAAGTAATGGCTACAGTGTTTCAAGTTTATTCAGGACTTCTACACATGCTGTGTTTGTCTGAGATGAAGGGTGGAAAAGGGGCTTTGCTTTGCAGTTGCTAAGGTGTTTTGAGTGTTTCTGTTCAGTTTATTCACTAAGCAAAAGTCATATGTCTGATCACTTAGAAAAATAATAGCACACCTCACTAAGCCACGATTTGAGGTAATATTTAAGTCTTTACTTAACATGTGGGACGACGTACAGGTATATGCTAGATTTGATGCTTAGGGATTGCAGGCTCGACAATAAGGATGTTTTCTGCTGACCCAGTTGGCTGGTAGGTTTTTTTTGCTTGTCTTGCCTGCAATTTCACTGACCCCATCAAAACATTGCCTTTTTTTTTTTGACTATGTTGACTGACTTTTAAATTAAATTTTATTAATGCTTCTAAGATCAAGACATTATTGCTATTTAAGCTACTGTATGTCATTAAGTTACATTGGTAACATCAAATCAGCAAACAACATTCAATTTAATATTAATTAATTTAAATTAATTGAATTATTAATTTAAATAAATGTAAAAGTGTTAAGTTTTCTTTCTCTCCATATATATGAACAATATCACACGAGTAGCAGTGCGAGATGGCTGTATATCAGCATGGCTGTGATTCGGCCGCACAAGAGTGTAAATAAAAAAAGAGACAACAATGGGGTGTCTTTAAAAACCGTCTTTTGTGCAGAATTACTTCCTTCCGCCACAGATACAAATCTCAGTTTGACAGTTTAACAGCTGAGCCCAAGCCTCCGTTACTAATTCGAAAACGTCACTTTAGAAGTAACGAAGGAACGTTGAGTTTCTTCATTGAAAGTTTATTGTATTAAAATGGTTAAAAGCTCCCTGTATTATGTAGAGTATTATGAGAGAGATGGACTGAGCGAGTGTGATTACCTGCATCCGATACAGCATTCATTCTTCAGCTTAATCTCATATTCACAATAAAACATCAGTTTGAATGTCCGCTGAGGAAAGCCATGTCTTCGTTCATCTGTTAAGGGTGATTTACGATGACAGCGCTGCTCAGTGCATTTGCTGGCTGTGTCTTACAAGCTGTTGTTGAAAGTAAAAATAACTTCCTTGTTTACTTCCTTGTGATGGATTAACGTAACTAAAATCACTATCACGAACACAAACGCTGTCCTGCGGTCTCATGCCTACTGCCAAATCACAGCCATGCTAACATATAGCCATATCGCACTGCTACTTGTGTAATATTGCTCATGTATAGTGAGTAATAGATGGAAACAATCTTTTTTTCTGGAATTTGCTGGAACATTACTGATTGATTTGTAATTTCTAACTGTCTTGTTAATGCTTCTAAAATTAAGGCATTATTGGTAACATCAAATCAGCAAACAACATTCCATTTAATATTGAATAATTTACTTTTGCTAAATATACAAAGCATGTACAAGATCAACAGTAGTAAGCTCTGTTGACCCAATGATGTTCTGTCATCTGTCCCAAAACGCTCTCAGAAATGGTTTCAGGCCACATATCCATTGTTGTGCCCCGGTATTTTTAAATCCCTAAGTATGAGTAATAATACTTGTCTAAACTTGTCACCACTAAACTTTCTCATTTTCCTCTGTGTAGTGTATCCTTCAGTGGAACCAGGTTGGCTCCAGGCAACATTTGAGGGCAAAAAAGGCCTCGTTCCTGAAAATTACGTGGTGTTCCTCTGACAGCGTCCAACCAGGAGGGGCCAAGCATTTCATGGTATCCATGGTAACATCAATTTTAGACCAAGGGCATTAACAATATATCAATGGAATGTAAATGGAATTCATGTAAGTGAAATTAAGAGATCATGGATGGTACACAAACCTCAATGATGCAGTACAAGGGTGATTAATGTCTGAATCACAGCTGTAATTCTAGACAACTGGGTTTCAAAGCTTTTGCTGAGGCTGAAATATTAAAATGAACATCATGTGCTGCTTGAGTCTAGATACACAAATTCACATACACTGAGATCAGGAGGTGCGATGGACTGCACTAAATGGTCCTTTTAGGTCTACTGTACTATGTGGTGGAATACTGTAATTCTGTTAAGAAAGGTCAGATAATAGGTCTAAAAGACAGACTTTCTTTTATTTTAGCTCAATGCTAACTGCCTTGAAATGATGGAGAAGAATGTTAAACCTCAGCCGTAACTATTTGAGCTGTGAATCACTGTCATGTTTAACTCAGTTCAGCAGAAACTCTGATTTGTGTGTGGTTTATTTCATCGTGAATGTACTTGCTTTTACTGTCATTAGTGTTCAGAAGTCTGAGACCACATTGTTAGGATTTTTGAACATTTTAAACAGAGAAACAAAATGAACACAAATTTCTGCAAAAGTTCTAGATGACTAATAATTAAGTTTAGGTTTTCAGGTAAATTGTGATATTAACCCTCTGGTCAAATTTCCAGCTTAACACTGAAGCACAAGATTCTCTTTGGAACATTTTTAAATCATGCTGAAGAACAAGATCATTGGCTTTGCTTACGCAGCTTGAGTGCTGCTGACATCAAAGTGACGAAAAATTATATTTACACATTTTCAGTTCTAATATTCATATTCATCACATTATGCTGTTAATAAAATGCTTTGAAAGTAAAAATGAATAAAAATGCCCAGCCGGCACCTTGATATCAATTTGATGTCAAATATTAGTCAAGACTTGATCAAAATGCTGTAACATCATTTTAAATTCAGTTTGTTTGACGACAATTTATTCCAGTGATATTTGAAATTGGTTTAATGTACAGTATATGTAGACCAATATGTTTGACGTTCAATTTACATAAAATCAACGTCATGTCAAGTTTTTGACATCAGTTTGATTTGCAAATTTGACCTGTTTTTTTATGTCAATTTTTATGTCTTTTCAACATTAATTGCCCACTGGGTGTATGTTATTGACATAGAGAATTCTATGTTTGGTGGACAGTGAAATCTTCCAGTTTTGTGCTGAAATATAAGCACCCTTGGAAGACTGCTTTATTCAATCAAATTAGTGGAATGCAACTAAGTGTTCCAGTGTTATCTAATATTTTCTTATACACAATATTCCTAACTCTGAAAATTTTGGAAACCACTGGTATAAAGCATGAGATAGCAGTGGATCATGTCTCAGTGTTGTATCCAGGTTACTGCAGAACGTCAAACAAAAATCAGTTTTAGCAAATACTAATGAATCAAGTCTAGCTGTAACCGCTTCATTGTACATGAGGTTCAGGTCACATTATTAATTCTGAAGTTTAAAATGACACCAACTGTCAGTGTCAACAACACCAATGTGGTACGTTCCAGTCGTCTTATTGTCTCCATAATGAAATATTCCAAACTTGTGTTATGAAGATAACTGATGAAAATCTAGACGATAGAAGTGTATGTATGGATGATTATTTTGTAAATCATATAGTTTTCTTCTTAATTCATTTCTGTTCTGCCAATAAATTTGTTTATAGAATGAGACCCACTTCTTGTCTTCTATTTAAGAAAAGCTAAATAATCTGAAGTAAATCTCAGACATCAGTCACTTCAGTCCGGCAGAGATCGGAGGAGAAACAGCATCAGAAGTATGTGGAAAGGAGGCGATTGCCAAGATCCCAGTGTTCTTTTCCAATTAAACACATGAGAATGCTCAGTGCCCTTGACTGCTGATGCTGGACTGATACTCCCTTCAACTAAACCAGCAGAGAGGAAATGACAGATGATCCAAAAAATGTTTTTAAAATGTTATGCTCTTAAATGGCTTCTGATAAAACGTAATATTCTGCTTTAAAAATAAACATCAGACTTGATCAAATTATACAATGATCCAATAATTATACAGTGATCTCTGAGCCGATATACAATTGAGCTCTTTGTCTTTCAAACATTATTTTTATTAGATACTTAACATGTACTTATGATTACGTGATGCCAGCGGATACTCTGTAAATGTAAGTAAGGTCAAAGGTGCCTGGCACTGGGTGTTTGTAAGATCTGAACATGAAAACTGTCCACTTGACACTTATCGGAGTTAGACAGATAAGCATTGGCTTTTCCTCACACTCAGATACATTTCCTGAAAATACAGGATTTAAAAAAAAAAAGTGTATAATTTAACCATAAATTAGAGTCTAATATGTTACATTTTTTGTAACATTTAAGGATTCATTAAAAAAAAAAAAACAATGAACTTAGAAAAATTAGAAGAAACATACATCACATTTTTAGCACATTTTAAGACTGAAAGTTATATTCTCTGTATTTATCATAAAAATGCTCAGAAACATGTTATGTAAGATTGTCATGTTTTGTAAAAGGCAATAGCAATAGCTAATAACACATTAGATCAGAACTTGTGACTACTATAAGCGGATGATTGTATATGGAAAGGTGCATGTCTGTGTTAATTAGATGTGGTACACATACATCAAGAGATGTACATCATCACAGACCCAAGTGTCCTGTCTGGATCACTTGTGAAACATGAGGGGTTTGACCATTCCCGCCAGCATTTTCGGCAGCTGTGACGCAATGACCTCTGACATCATCTCTGGAAACTCCACCCTCATGGCATCCGCCTGGATGTATGTGCTCAGACAGTAGAGATTGACCTTCTTTACAATCTACACAAAGATAAATTCAACGTTACAATCCAAGCTCCCCTATCATGCTTTGTGCACTCTGATATCTAACAAGTGATGACGTGAATAAAGCCGCTTCGTTATTGATGTGACGCATTTCACGTAAAAGATTTGATACATGAGATAAACTATTCATTTGATGTCTTTTTCAAATTGACATCACACAGCTTATCACAATGTGTTCTAAAACAACAGATTAAAGGGTCATTCACATCAAGGAAAATAACTGGAACTATAAAGTTTAATTAATCGTTCTGATTCTATAAGAATATGGAAGTCTACACACAACTACACTGTAATGTAACACATTGTTGGAATCACTGTCATAAAGACTTTTTACAGCTCAACAGCAAAACACCGACAGCCAATCAGAATCCAACAGACATTAAAGGGTTAGTTCACCCAAAAATGAAAATTAGGCTGC